TAGATTAACTGGTTCTGTTTGTTGCACGTGGATTCTCCTGACAGACGTTTCTGTTTTGTGCTTTTTTTCTTTGCTCAACAGGAACCAGGAAGTGTGAAAACTGCACTAACAACAACCAAACCGGGCAGCAAGAGCTTCCATGTGTGAATAACAAACGCAGGTAAAAGAAMAACGGACAAACGTGCAGGACAGCAGCTGAACTGTGTCTTCTTTTTCTGCTGCTACTGATGTTCCGACCCCGAACCACAACAGTGAGGCTGTTGGTCCTGACACTTGCTGGGGGGGTGCGGGAGGAAGGGGGCCGTGGGGACACCTCCAAAAGGTCACGAGACGTAATAATAACAGCAGGGGACACTCTGAGTAATGATGCTGGACATTTATTATGCAGGAGCACAAACAAGGCCTGCAGGGTCCACTCGTGAGTCAGCTGATCAAACCAAATTTCACAAAGGATTTGCATCAAACTCCAATTATTTTCTCATTTTTACCTCCTCAGAAGAAAAAAAAAACGACTTCATGGCCAAGTGAAACGAGCCGTTATTAACAGGCTATTTCCCTGTCAGGAGGCTCCTCACAGCCTCACGTTTTTATCTGTGAATCAGACAGAGGAGGAGAGAGCAGAGCAAAAAAAAAATGAAGGGCTTAGTATTCAACGTACATTCAATGTGTYGGACTGACTTTAAACTTTAATTTCAAAAACAGAATTGGATTTACAAAATGCTTGAGGAGGAGTTTGAACCGKATGTGGCACGAAAACCAGCCAACTAAAAAGGCTGATGAGGAGAAGTGGCTGCAGCTGCGGTGTAAGGTGAAGTGGGCGTGGCAGGGCGGGCTGAGGAAGAAGAGCGATGGAACCAAGAAAACAAGTCTCCGATTGGTCTGCGGCCGTAAAAACGGTAGGGCGACAGAGGGTTAGGAGTGATGCAGAGGCAGATGATGCCAGCGAAAGATTAAACGCGACTCTTGGAGGAGAAAAAGAAAGACGGGCCTGTTCAACACTCTCCCACACTGGCAAAGTTTCATCAGCTCAAGAGGACKTGCTGTGCTCTGAGTCACAGCAGATGGGGAGTTCTGTCAAGTGCTAATAGAGGTGCGCTGCAGCCACTCTTGGTGGTAACATAAAAAAAAAATCCACCAAAGATCCGCTCCATCAACACACGATTGACTGTTTTTAGGAGCTGGAGTGAAGAAAAGACAAACATCAAACGCTTGAAAAGTTCAGCCAATATGTTCGTTTTGTTTATGGATGTAAAAGCAGCTGAGCGGCTCCAGATGGCCGATTCTTCAGAGCCAGAAAACAAGACCGAGTTCCACAAAACTCTTCACGAGCCATGTGATTATTCAGAGCTTTAAAGAAATGAGCTATCTGCTTTCTGAAAAACAAAATCTAAAATTTAATTTTATCTTAATCGGTTTCAACAAAAGACACTTTTTATTCAAATGGGGAAATAAAATTAACAATGTTGAACTTTTCCCACAAACAGCTCAGGGTGTTTAGATACCTTTTCTACCTCAACAGGCTGCGATTATCAAACAATAAAGGGCAACAAGTCAGACAGTTAYGCAAGTTTTGAGCTTAAATCTGGGGTGATAGTAGCTGAGCATAATCCCCAACACACATTCTGAGCCCTTACAGACTGTGTGAGATATTTGTTTAAAACTGTGGCATTTATTAGAGTCATGACCGTCTGTTAGCAAAATATCTCACAACCCACTGAATGGGTTTTGTAAAGTTTCAKCAACATCATCAGTTTAAAAAAAATAAAACTTTGTAATTTGAAAACAATTTCAAAATGGAATAAAAAATTTTATTTAAAAAAGTTCAAAACTGCTTGTGTCGTTCAGTTGAATAAATATAGCATGACTTTGTGTCATATAATATACAAATATGTCAGGCAGCTGAATCATATAATTAAACTGTAATATGCTGTTGTATCATATAAGTAAAGTATGGAAGGCAGTTATAGCATATACTTAAACACATAGTATGCAATTTTATCATAAAATTAACAAAGAATGGCAAGCCATTGTGTCATATATTTTAAAACTTTGGCAGGTTCATATCATATRATTAAAGATGTATGGCAGGCAGTTGTATCATAAAAACAAGGCAGCAGCTGTAGCATATAATTAAAGTATGGCAGGCTGTTGTGTCATATAGTTAAAATATATAAAAGGCTGTTGTATAATAAAATTAACGAAGAATGGCAAGCCATTGTGTCACATAATTTAAAGCTTTAGCAGGCCGTATCATATAATTAATGAAGTATGGCAGGCTGTTGTATCATAATATTTTTTTTTTAAATTACGACAGGTTGTTGTATCTTGTAATTAAGTAATTATGGCAGGCCATTTTGTCCTATAACAAAAACACAAGGCTGCTGTCAGATCATACTGTATAATTAAAGTAAGTAGGCCATTGTGTCATATAATTGAAAACTAATTGCAGGTCATTTTTATCATACAATTTACAAAGTGTGACAGTTTGTTGTATTAGTATCACATGAGCCAAAAATTTTCTTCAGTTTAAATTTTTTTCTTTTAGTTTAAATTACTTATTTTTAAACAGATTTTTAAAAACTCCCTAACAAACTTTATCAATAATTCATGCCCACAAAATTGCAATTTACTTTTGTATAGGAGGATAGTGAAGCTGTTTCAACTGCTCCATCTTCCTCCCAAGGATCATAAAACCCCTTAATTGTTTTTTTCATCTAGTTGCTCAAAATAAAAAAGTGACATTACTGCTCCTTTGATTTATGTAGCCGTGCGTGATAAGATAAGCAGGCCTTAATTACAGAGCCTCCAGCAGCGCCATTATGGGCTATTTATATTTCAGCTGTCTTGCGCATCAGTCTGGCATTCCTCTGAGCACAGCGGTGTGTGTGTTCCTGGATGAAGGATGGTGCAGAACGCACGGACGCTGCTAAAACAAATCACAGACGTGGCCTCATTTAGCAACACGAACAGAAAAACACCAGAAGCTGCGCCTTCTGTCTCACCAACATRACTGATGACCAACAAATTACTTTATTGTGAAGGTTTGCATTTAGTAACAAAGTTTCGTTAAGACATTTCATTGAGGTAAGTTGCCAGCCGGTGGCTCTTGACACAAGAACTTTACATTTTGAACRGTGTGATGTGACAAAACACAAGGTGCTTCCATACATCCAGTTATGTATGTTGGATTATCTACAAATAAACACACGCTGCTCAGAAACACAGGAGCTTTATTGTGAAGCTGAGTATTGTTTGAAACAACAGCTACAACCTTGCAATTTTTTWAAAAAAGGAAATCTCAACCTATTTAGCTGACACATAATAATAAAGTGCTACTTTTTATTTATTGTTTTAAATAAAGATCTTCTACAGGCTTTCACGTGGGAAATGGAGCAAAAACAGGAAGAAGCTGGGACGCTCCGGAAAATGTAAACAAAAACCAGAGGTGTGTAGGAACAAAGTACATTTACTTTGTGAATTGTAACTTTTACTTTTGTTTTATTTTCAAAACTTAAAAATGATACTTTTTATTTTTTTTACTTTAAAACTTAACACCTTGTTACAAATTTAGATATGACCAGAACTCGTCATGTAATGAGTTGTTTCTGCACTCTGAAAAATGAAGTGTTGAATTTACTTAACCATTTATGTCAACTGGTTCCACTAAACCAAGTAGAA